CATTCCAAACCCCACCTACTCTGAGGACCTGCCCCCAAGAAGGTGCTCCCTGAACTCCAGAGTTGCAATAGGTCAAGGGTTTAGATGTTCATGCCCAGCCCTTAGGGGTTCCTGATTCTTTGCTCTGTCTGTAGTGGGATATCCTTTTGTATGTGTGCATGCAAGGAATGAGAATCCAGGGTCTTGCATGCTGAGCACACACTCTGCTACTGAGCAGTGCCCCCATCCCCTCCCAGTTGTGCTGATATGTGTAATGGGTTGGAAACTACTGATCTTGTCCTACTCCCTGTAGGGACTGTGAGGTGGACTTTTTCAAGGTCACCCAGGAAACCACCTGATGCTTGACCCAGATTCCTCCTGCTGTCCAGTACAGCCTGGAATTCAGTTCAGGCTCTTTGAGATTTTCCTCAGTGCTGCTGAACTATTTTTAAAATCATAGCTTTCATTTTCCGGATTATGGCCCAATAAACTGTGTTGACATGTGATGTTCTCAGTTTTACAGGAAAGCAGTTTTTCTCACATGAATGTGTTCTTTTGTTTATTCCTGGCAACAGTTTCATTTGGTCGTTATAAAAACAAATAATTATAGTAGTTAGAATGTACACAAAGTAATAAAAGTTAATCATTGACCTATGTCCCAGCCACTTATTTATTTATTTAGAGACAGGGTCACACTAAGTGGCTCAGGCTGGTCTCAAATTTGCATCCTCATTTTTCAGCCTTCTGAGTAGCTGGGATTATAGTCATGAACCATCCTGTCCGCCTAGCCCAAACTTTTCACTGCATTCATGTGTGTATATTTGTTTATGTACGCGTCAGTGTATGTGTATGTGTTGGGGGGGGTAGCTTTATTTCTCACTCAATTTTAAATTTAAGAAACATTTGTCATAATTTGTAACTGTTATGTTTTGGGTCCCCACAAAGCGTCATGTGGTCATAGGCTTTATCTAGAGTGTGTGAAGCTGGAATTGATTCATGATGCAATGCTAGGCTCAAGGGCACTGGGAATAAGGGTGTGAGTGATACTGGCCCCAAGTATTCTGAATAAGATAAAAGGGGCAGGGAGACACTGTTAATTCTTTTGTTACCTTTGCTGCCTTGTATGCGCCATGTTGTTTCTGTTCTGCCATGCCTGTTTGTCATCCCTGCCTTGGAGTTGGCTGATCATGGACTGAAACCTCTATGAACTATAAGCCAAATAAACCCTTTCCCCTTTAACTTTGGGTGTCTGGTATTTTGTCTCAGCAACGAGAGAAAAGTAACTAACATAGTAACTATGTCAGATGCCTTTTTATATGAGATTATATAGATGGTTTATTTCTATATTTCCTCCACTGACAAGAAGGTTTAGGATCCACTGTGCACAATTACCTGTTTTATTAGGTTGTTTGACCACATCCCAAATTAGAAGGACACCTCAGGAGGTGGTGATGTCCAGGGAGAATAACCACTTATCTGGAGCCTTGGGAAAGGATAACCCATTGAAAGTGTTCCGCAGCCAGAGAAGCTGGCTGGCCTCAAGGGCTTCTATCCTTAACCAGCTGATGCGCTGAACCCAGTTGACTCCTGTAGCATTTTTCTCAAAATATACACCATTTCAGCTGTAGCTCATGCAGTGTGCATTCAGGTAGCTGTGGTAGGAAGATCATGAGTTCGAGACCACCTGGGGTACATAACAAGTTTGACGCCAGCCTGAGCTATATAATGAGACCCTGTCTCAGAAAAAAAGAAAAAAGAAAGGATGAAAAGGAGCCATTTCTCTCAGCCTCTGAGAGATCCAAACAAACAAATCCAAACCACAGGTAAAGAATGGCCTCAGCAGGGGTTGGCAGGGGGAGCCAATGCCAGGAGAATGGAGTCAGGCTCTTAGGCTTTCCTCCAGGGTTAACTTGCACTGTAATTTTGGGCAGAACGTCTTGTGGCCTTTGTTTTCTTATTTGTAAAAATCCAATGCTGTACTCCCTGTGAATGACAAGCTTGGGGATATTTTGAGAGTCCAGTGATTGGTTGAATAGGAAAGGATTTTGAGAAATACAGGTTGCTTCCAAAGGCAACTAAAGAGCATTCCTGCCCACCTTTATTCCACCTCCCGTCCTCCTTCCCTCCCTTCCTCCTCCCTCTTTTTTCTTTCCTCCCTTCCTTCCTCCTCCCCTATTCCTCTTCTCTTTGCTGCTTCTCTCTACTCTCTTTCCCCTCCCTCCTTCCCATCCTTCCTTCCTGGGTTACTGAGTGCTTGCTTGCAGTTGAGCTTGCTCTGCTCTCATCAATCAGTGGGTTTCCTTTAGAGTGGTTTTCATCATAATTCCATTTTCATTGTCATGATTATCTACCATCCTGGAAAACTAAACATGTTTGTTTGGCACCCTTGTGTTTAGACAGAGTGGCAGATTACACTGTGAACACTACAGTAGTGTGTTGAGTAAATTAAGGAATGATTTGCCCTACTCTGAAGATTGAAGCCTGCAGTGAGGCAGCCAGGTTCTCTTCTCAGGAAGAGAGGGAGATGTGCTTACAATCATGTTTATGAAACTGGCTGCAGAGTTTCCCAAACAAAACTGTAACACAAGACTGTGTACCAGAGAGAGACAGATCAGAGGGATGTGTCTTTCCAGATTGTGAGGGGCCCTACATCCCTCTTTCTTACATGAAGTGACAGCTGTTGCAGATGTTCAAGTAAGAGATCTCCTTACACTGCCTATGTGGATTGTTGCTATGGAGAGCATGCATTGGTTTTGGTGGGAGATGGGGAATTTGATGATGGCTGGGCCTCCAGGTGAAGTTGGTTTAGACTTGAATGTGAGACAGACTCCCCTGTCTCACAGAGAAGAATGAGGCAACGTGCTCAAGAGAGTGCTAGTTTAGGATCATAAGCAGAAGTGAGTCCTAGACCCCATGGGGTAGCCCTGGGTTAGTAGGTGTGAGTCTGACCCTCAGCTTTGGGTGGCTTCTGCTGGCTGTGGCCTCAATTCATGCTCTATCTAGCCCTTGGGCCTGGATATTCTGTCCCTCATGCCCATCAGGTGCACAGAGGATGTACCAAACAATAGAATCCCTGGGAGCCCACTGTGGCATCCTACCCAGACCCTTCCCCTTCTCTAAGTCAGGGGTGGTTAGGAGGGCAGAGTCTGTCCTTCCTAGCTGGAGGAAGTAAAGTCACTTTGGAAGCACATTGACAAGTCCTCCAGGCCTTTGAAGGACAACACAGCTCCATTTCTTCCATGAACACAACTTCTTCCTGTGACCATCAGGCCCCTGGATAATGGTTGAAGTGACCACAGGTGTGGCTTCCTTCTTGGGGACTTGCAGAGTCTTTGACTTTGAGGAGTAAAACTCCTATAGGATGCCCCCAGGAGCAGGGCCCTTTGACGGAGTTCTCTCCAGGGCCTGCTCTGCCAAGAACAGAGCAGCACGAGTGGAGGAGGGGGAGACCTTTTCGTGGGCACCCACCAGGGCCTGGCTCTGTCTTTGTCCAGCCTGGCCAGCGTGACCAAGCTGCTGGACAATGTCAAGGTCACCACTGAGGAACAGTGAGCCTCCTTGGCAGAGTGAGCTCTCGGCTGACATCCAGCCACTCTCTGAGGAGCACCTGACCTGCACAGAGTGACAGCAAGAGCTGGTGGTCTCCAGATGAGGCTCTGAGCCACACTGGCCTTTGTCCCGTACTTGTTTGCTTCGGCGGTTGGCCGAGGAGCCATCAGGGAACCTACTCCAGGCTCAGTTCACCTGGCAACTTCCTAGGAAACCTCTATCTGTGTGGGTGAGGAGAAGAGAGGACAGCAAGCACCCAAGCTCAGACTTTTTGCTTCTGGGGATGTGGATGACCCTCTGATCATGGTAGTCACTCAGCTGAACGTGGAGTTTTGCTTTCAGGGCAAGAGGCTGCGAGGCTTCAGCTGTGAGCTCATCCAGTCCCCCCATGGGGTCTTCCCTGAGACCGTCTTCACCACAGCGTGCCAGGTCACAGTGCCCATACTGCTATCTGGCTTGGGCATGATGGCTGCCGGCCTGTTGATGAATATTGTCCAGGTGCGTCCTGGGCGTCAGAGAGGTAGTGGGGATGGGATGGAGGGCAGAATCAGGGTCTCTTGGCACCACAGATGGGGCAGGCCAGTGACACACGGGCCCTACATGGGTGGCAGCAGCTCTGAGCCGGACCTTGCTGCCCAGGAGTCCTCTCGGTGGGGCTGGTGGAAGGATCCGCTAAGCATCTCGGCATGTGAGTCACAGAGCAATGAGGATTCTGATGACCTTCCCTGAGATTAGCCTGTGTGGTCCCTGCCAGCCCAAGGTGCTTAGCCTCCTTCCTGCAGGGAGTGCAGGCTCTTCAGGATAGATTCTTTAGTCTTTTTCTGCCTCAGTTTCCTCATCTGTAAAGCAGGGATCATAAGAGCACCTGACTCACGAATTTATGAGGCAGATGACAGAGTGCATGTGTGTTGTCCCCGTGGAGTGGGATGATAAGGACAGGCAGAACTGTGGCGAGCCTACTCTTCTGGAATCCCTGTTAGGTTCTGGGGGAAGCGCAAGGCTCAGAGTCTGGCAGGTGTGTCCAGGAAAGTGAGGAGTGTGGCGGTCACTATGTGATAGTGGTGTTTGCTGACAGACCTTCACTCCTCATGTTCTGTGTGTACCCTGAGTTTGGTCCTGGCAACATTTGGATGACTGAGAGGTTTTGCTGTCTGTCTACTTGAATATTTATTCAGAATTAATGTGTTATTTTATTTTAGAAAACCCAAAGTATAGATATAAGTGATGGAGGAAAGGTGCCCATAAAAATTGCAGTCACCATTTTCTTTCATACCAAAACTATTTTCTGTGTATATAAACATGAATATGTTGAGATTTTTCTTTTTATTCATTTATTTTTAATTAAGCATGTGAGTGTGTGTGTGTGTGTGTGTGTGTGTGTGTGTGTGTTTCTGGGGATGGAAGCCAGGGCGTTGTGCCTGCCAGGCATGTATTGTACCACTGAGCTACATCCTCAGCCCCAATACTGCTTTTTAATCTGTAAATTTGAATTTAATCACAAGGACATCCCACATGGTGTCTCATGTTCCTCAGTATCTACAGCATCTCCATGATGGTGGCTTCCCATTGTCCTTTGCCTGAGTTTGGAGAGGGATGTCAGTATCACCCAATCCACCTGGCCTTGGAGTCCTCTCTGGCAGCTTCTACCTGCACATCTCAGTAAATGGAACATGTGACCCTCTTGGTTCTGTGGCCCACTCACTGTTGGAGACCTTGTGCTTTTTTGACTTGCAGCCTAGACACCCATCCCTTTCCAGATGGCTTCAACTCTGCAGCCTTTCTGAGAGCTTGTCACCCCTTCCCTAAGACCACTCTACTGATCCTCCTCCTCCAAGTCTTTCCTTTTCAGCCTTTTTTGCAGCCACCTTATGTGGGGCTGACTTGAGCTCCTCCATCTCTAACCTATCCACAGCCCCTCACTGCTGGGACCTTGGAGTTCATCTCAGGAACACACCCTCTTCTTGCTGCCTCCATTGCTGTAGCCTGGAGGGTGTTTGTCAGCTGGGAGAGCTAGGCAGGGAGTGGACACAGTGAGTAGGAGGAAAGTACACTTCCTTCTTCCTAGGGGAAGGGCAGAGATATGCAGAGGGAGCAGCACAGTCTGAGTTGGACCTGAAAGGCTACTGTAGCAATTTTCAAGGTGCCATGGAAGAAGCAAGCATTCCAGGTAAAGGACTGTGTGTGCAAAGATAAAGATGAATGAGAGTGTGCATTGGTGAAGAATGAGGAATGTTGGATGACCACTGACATGGGGACAGGGACACTGCGGGCCATTGAGGGGCTCTGCTCTGTTCAGAAGCTTGACACATACACTGAATGCAAAGGGGTCATTTTTTGTTGTTGTTAGTTGGTTTCCTTCCCTCCCGCCCTTCTTCCCTTCCTTTCCTTCCTGTATTCTGTATTTTCTTGTGTTTGTCTTCCTATATATCTTTCCTTTTTTCTTCTTTCCTTCCTTTCTTATTTTATGATAAGTATTATATTTGTTTATTGGAATATAGTGCTGACGTGGAAAATCCCACAGCTCCTGTGTGAGGTTGATGAACTGAAGGTGAGTGAGTGCCCCTATGTGACCACTGCCTAGGTCCCAAGCATGCTCCACCCCCAACAGTTCTTTCACACCCTACCTTGTCTCTGCCTCTCCTTTGCCTTCTAGTGCTGGGGATGAGTTGTGGTCCTAGAGAGGTATGATGCTACTCACAACATTCTTGAATATGTTTCAGGGGCATGTATGGACTCATGTGTGTTGGGTGTGTGCTCAGTGGAATAAAGACATTTGTTCCAGTCACTTGGGGCCTGAAATCCACCAATATAATGTCTTTAATGTCTTTATGGAGGGCAGTGGCAAAATTTTAAAATTATGACAACATGAATGTCTGGTTGGGCACAAGAAGGGTTAAAGTCTTGACTAGCAGAATAGGAAGAACCCTGGAACTGCAGGAGGTGGGGCTGCCAGAAGGGCCTCTGTGAGAGAAGCTGGAGTTTGGAGATCTTAATTTTGAGGTAACTATGGGACATTGTGCAGTCCACAGTGGATAAGACAGGTGTGATATTGGGCACTGACATATGCACAGGGCATCTGTCAGTAGATTTGCTTCTGGCTGCAAATAGTAGAAAGTTCACCTCAAAATGACTGTGGGAAGAAGGACACTTTTTTTTTTTTTTTTTTTTTTGGTACTGGGGATCGAACTTGGGACACTTCTTACATTTCTTATCTCTACAGAGAACATTGGGGATAGGACATCTCCAGGACTGGTTATTTCCCTGAATGAACAGTGACTCTTGGCATTTTTTCCACTTTACCATTTGTGTTAGTCTTTTAGGGCTGCTGTAACAAAGTACCACAGACCAAGTGGCTTAAATAATGGAAATTTAGTTGTAATAGTAGTAGTAGTAGTAGTAGTAGTAGTAGTAGTAGTAGTGTTTCATCTGCATACTGGAAGTCTGAGATCAAGGTATCTGCATGGTTGGTTTCTTGAGTTTTAAGATGCTGTCTTCTCCCTGTGTTTTCACATGGTTGTCCCTCAGAGCTTGTCTGTGTCCTAATCTTTTATAAGGACACCGGTCATGTTGGATGAGGGCCTACCTGTGTGATCCTATTGTAACTTACTCATTTCTTTAATGATCTATCTCTAAAAAATATAATTGTTTTGAGGTACTGGGTCTTAGGGCTTTGACATATCAGTTTGGGGGAGGGAACACAGTTGAGCCAGTCTCTGTTTGTTGACTTTGTATGGAATAGCTCCTTTCATCATTGTGTGATACCCAGTGTGACCAGGCATGAATTCTTAAATCTCATGGACAGAATCATTTCACAGCCCCATGCCTATGGCAGCCAGCCACCAGCAAGGAAGTTGGGACCACAGTGAGTCTAGATTCATAGCTATGTGGAGAAGGTGGTGGTGGGTGTTGGAGAAGTAATGCCAAGTGTGCAATGGAAGGTAACTCACACCTTGGAAGGCAGAGGGTGTGGAAAAGAAAGGAGAATAGAAGGTGAAGCATTTAAGAAAGCCAGTATTAAAAGATTAGGAAGAGGAAGAGGAGCCCACAGTGGAGGCCAAGATAGAATCATTAAGAGGCCAGCATAGAACTAGGAGGCCAGAGGGCAAGGGTTCAGAGGTAAGCCTGTGGTAGAAGGAGCTTCATCTATGTTGTGAGGGAGGACAGTGCCATCCCACAAAGGAACCAGCACTAGTGGAGTCCATGAGGTTTACCCATCAGAAGGTCACTGCTATCTTTAGGGATAGTGATATGGCTGACCCCAGCAAGCACAGCATGGAGTTACAATGAGTGAGGATGGGAACACATACAGAAGTTGGTGGCACTGGGAAAGAGCCAGCCAGGATTGGAGAAGTTCATTGACAAGGGAGGTAGAGATGAGGAAGAATTTATTATGACTTTGGTGTTGGTGGGCACTTGGTCTTGTGTGTGGGCAGGGACTGTGTGCATGTGGTGCATGGGGAAGACTTAATGGCCTGAAAGGAGTGTGCATATATATGGTCCAGGCCCTAATCTGGTCTAGTCTGTATTTCACAAATGTTCTTCATCTACGGGAGGTGGATGAGGGTCCCGGGTGGATGATGTGCAGGGTGGGAACGGGATGTGCTAGTCAACCCTTGCCCAGTGGTACAAGTGCGTGTGTGATGGTCATCATGTCCTGTGCTATAGGAATGCTCAGGGCTGATAGGACAGCTACATACAGGACTGGGGCCAGATGCTGCTGGAAGACAGGAAGGCCATGCACAGTGCTGATAAGGGCTACCCACCCCTTTCTTGGTGACACTGTTTGCTTCTGAAGCTTTGACAACTCAGGACACTATCAGAGTTGTGCCTGGGTTCTGAATTTCACAGCTTTGTAGATAATGTGAAAGGAGAAGCTGAGGAGGGAGCCATGAGTGGGGTTACCTTCCTTGATCTAAGGAGGAAGCAATCCCTCTACCAGTTCCATGCCTGTAAGGCAGTGGGCTACTTGGAGATGGCTCTTCTGCTCCCTCTAGAGATGAAGTGGTTTTGCACACCTTTGTACAGTTCTCTGAGGGGAATTGGGATGGGAACCTGCACTCCAGAATTCCAAGACTAGAGGAGCTTCTTGCGTAGGGACCACAGATATCTGTAGGTACCAGGAGAGCAAAATAAATTAATCAAATCAGTTAGGGTATTAAAATTTGATTCTGGGAGGCTGAGGTAGGAGGATTGAAAGTTCAAGCCTAGCCTGGGCAAATTAGCAACATAGCCAGACCTTGTCACAAAATTTAAAAAAAAAAAAAGCCAGGCATGGTGGTGCATTCCTGTAATCCCAGAACTCAGGAGGCTGAAGCAGAAGAATTGCTGCCAGTTAGAGTCCAGCCTGGACTACATATTTAGTTCAAGACCAGTCTGCAGTACATAGTAAGACTCTGTCTCACAACACCAAAAAAAAAAAAAGCTGTGGATGAAGCTCAATGCAAAGGGCCTAGATTTAACTCCCAATATGTCCCCTCCCCCATGCACACAATTGATTCCAGAGAACAATCTGGTTGCATGTTAAACAGGTAAGAACTACTTTCAGCTCCATGAATGAATTTCTTCTCTTCCAGTTTTCTTGAAACTTGCATCCCTTTCATTCTGTCTTTTTAGTTTTTCTTTGTTTTGTAATGTTTGACAGAGACATGAGGTCTCTATCAAACAGATTTTTCTGTTTTAAAAAAAATTCAGAGTCTGGCATGGTGCTCCCGAGTGATAACTTACACTCAGTCTCAGTCTCCCTCAGGGAGCAGAGGGAGGCAGGGCCTGGGGCAGCCTGGAGGGACATTCCCTGACAAAGTCACTACCACCCCACAGTCTCAGCTGGTATTGGCAAGTATTACCATGCCTCCTAATTTATGAGAAATCCCTCAGCTCTGAAATCGATGACTCATTCATATTTCTACAAAACTATGTATTGTGCAAAAAATTTCCATATTGCTCCAACAAATGCTGTAGCATGTTTGAATTCTGGGCAAAGCTGGTTGGGCTCTAGCCAGGAACAGCCCCAGATGTTCCTGGCTTCTAAGGACAGAGACAGAAAGGGGCTTCCTTGAGACCAATAGTGCTGATTGGATAGATAATATGAAACATTTCATGATTTTCTTGTTATTTTGTCTTTAAAGCTATTTGAGATACTATTTGGTCTTGTACATTTTTATAAGGATTCTGAAGACACTTCCAGAGCTATGAAGATTGTGTTTATATTTATCCCTTTATCCTTTCTCTTCCAGCACTGGCCCGTGTTTGTGGAGGTTAAAGACCTTTTGACATTGGTTCCACCCCTAGTGGGCCTGAAGGGGAACCTAGAAATGACACTGGCATCACGGCTCTCCACAGCTGTAAGTTGACAGCAGGCATTTCAGGTCACCCGTAGCTGGGGATGATGTGGTCCTACCACCTGTCTATCATCAGTGGCTCATAGATGGATAGGCTGGAGTCTTCAAGAAGACGAGTGTTGTTGAGTTTTGTTACCTCATGGAGTCCTGGTCACCAATCTCTGTCTGTCATCTTGTTTTTTCCGTGGTCGAATCAGACTGTAGATGAGGAACCAGGCCAGTGCCTGGGGATCCTTCATTTCTCCTTTAACACCAGTGTTGCTTGGTTTATTTTGTCCTTGTGGCCCCAAGTCTGCACGCTCCCTGCTCCTCTATACCCTTCAGCAAACTGGGGCTGGTTCCTCCATGTGTTTATATAAAAACCTCCACGAGCAATGCGGTCTAAGGGAGGATATCTGTAGGGGAGACTAGAAGGGTCTAAATTGCCTGTGTCGCTGACCTCCCTTACCAGACAAAATAGCTTCCTTGTTACTGTGGGACTGGCAGCATCTCCCTTGGGCTGTGTAGTCAGCACAGTTCATAGTCTTGCTGGTTCTTCTCATCTCTTCCCCGTTATCCCCAAGGATTGGAATTCTTTTCCTCTTGTCATGCAGAATGGTTTCTCACCCTCTCTGGTACCCATGTGATGTCTTATATGTGAAAAAAGACTATGGGTGAAAGGGTCAGTTCATATAGAGCCCTTTAAAACATTTCAGTATTTTAAGCATCTGGTACTGTGAATTAGGCACATACATCTGCATATATGTGCACACGCATGCACGTATGAGCGTGATTATTTTGGTCCATGTTTAGGAGGAAAAAAATTGTGATGGTAATCTCTGCCATGGAGATTTCAGTAGTCACATTTGTATTTCATAATGTTTAACTGTATTTTAAACCTTCTACACAATGACCATATCTTAGTGTCATAATCCTTTTAAAATGTATGAAGCATAGAAGGAAAAATCTGTAAATATAATTCATTATAATAGTCTAAGGAGAACAGACACATTATTATCACAGTAGCAGCTTCAAACCCATTCAGTACTTTATTATTTTTTAAATCACTATATGAAGATATTAATTAATGCATTAAAACCCACAAATTCTAACATAAGTACATGCGTATAACTATGGTCTGAGTGGAGATATAGAACATTTCTCTCTCCCCAGAAAGTTCTCATTTCCTTTTGAGGGCATCTTCTTATCCTTCCATCCTGGCCACTTCTGAGTTAGCTTTCATTCTCTATAGATTTATCTTTATCACTCATTCATGATTTAAAAAACACTGTTACTATAACTTGAAATAGAAATGATATTTCATTGTTTTACATGTTCTAGCTGATGTAATTAAGTCAAGAAAAGGATTATTGCCTTAAATGTTAGAGAAAAGGAGAAAAACATTTGCTAATGATATGCTTATATTCTTAGGAAATCTAACCAAATCAACTAAAAAGAGCTATTAAACTAGTAGGCACTCAATAAAGTAGCCTTGTTTGAAAATACCTACATGAAATTGAAAACATATATTAATATGTATCTGCAGAGTCCAGTACACACTATAAATAATCATTTATAAAATATAATTGGAAAAGGTACAACTTTCAGGTCGGGGATTTAGCTCAGTGGTTCCACCACTCAGCTCACAAGCACAAGGTCCTGAGTTCAATCCCTGCTACCCTCCCCCCCCCCCAAAAGATACAACTTTCAGTATATTAACCACTTTGAAAATATCAGAAAAAGCCCCAAACAGAAATGTGCAGTACCTATACAGTTAAGACTCTGAGATGTATAAAGGGAAATACAAATTTGGAAAGAGACCTAGTTCCAAAATGAGAAGAGTAAATGTTGCAAAGTTGTCAATTCTCTCTTTTAGTTTATAAAATTAATACAATTTCTATCAATATGCCAAAGGTATTGTGGGGAACACTTGGCTATTATTTGAAGTTTATTTAGAGGAATAAGTGGGTTAGAATAATCAATACACCATTGGCTGGGAGTAGTAGTACATGCCTGTAGTCCTGGCTACTTGAGAGACTAAGGCAAGAGGATCCCTTGAGCTCAGAAGTCTAGGCCCAGCTTGGGCAACATAGCAACACTTTGTCTCTTCAAGAAAGAGAGAGAAAAGGAAGAAAAAGAAATCCAGGTTTAAAGAAACAAGGTAAAGGTATAGTAATTAAAATATTTTAAAACCAATGTCAATGAAACATAACATTCAGAAATGACTTGGATATATAGAAATGTAATCTACTAGCCAACTATCATCTTTTACATGCATGGTGGCACATACCTATAATTCGAGTACTGGGGAACTGAGGCAGAATGATCACTGTGAGTTCAAGGCCAGCCTGGAATACATAGTGAGGCCCTGTCTCAAAAAAACATAAAAACAAAAGAGAAAGAGATAATCTGCTACAGGTAACTGGCATTTTAAATCAGTGAAGACAGGATCAATTATGAATTAATGATGACAAGACAATTGGTTAATTCTTTAGAAATAATTTTTTGTTGTATATCAATATATTTTATGAGTGGGTTATGTAATTTGAAATAAACTATAATACCAGAAAAACAAACTTGTATTTTTAGAATCTAGTGATAGGAAAATGCATTTTAAATACCAGAACAAATACAAAATCTATAAAGAACAGATAATGTCTCTGTTAAATTGAAGGTGTGTCTTATTTTCTGTATTAGTTTGTGAGAGCTGCCACATCTAAGAATCACAAACTGGATGGCTCAAGCAAGAGAAATTTATTGTCTCACAATTCTGGAGGCTGGAAGTCAGCTCAGACTGTCAACAGGGCTGGCTCCACCTGAGGGTATGTGGAACAGTCTGTTCCAGGTCTCTCCCCTGGCTTCAGGTGTCTTGCTGGTGGTCTCTGGCAATCTTTGGCATTCTTTGGCTTGTAAACATATCTCTGCCTTATCTTCACATGGTATCTTGTTCTCTGTATGTGTCCAAATTTTACTGAGGTTTCATCTTACGTAATTACATCTACAGTGACCTCATATCCAAATAAGATCATATAGTGAGGTAATGGGGTTTAGGGCTTCGACATCCATTTGGGGAACACAATTCTATCCTTTACAGTTGTCTTACCTAAACCTAAAAAGATAATAACCAACAAGGGAAGAAGTTATATATAAAATTAACAATGGCTATGGGTATAGGTCAGTGTTAAAGTGCTTGCCTAGTGTATACAAGTCCCTGATTTCAGCACCTATCACACACACACACACACACACACACAAACACACACAAATTAGCAGGGTTTAATGTCCTTAAGTCTCTAGTTAGCTTATATATATCAATATGAAAACACACCCCCTAAAATAAAACAAAGGATATGAATGACAGTGCACAAATATCTTAGAATGTAGCTTAGTATATGTTATGGCTTATAACTAGGTGTTCCCTCAAAGCCTCATGTGCTCATAGATGGGGCTTTGGGAAGGTGACTGTATCATGGCTGTGTGATAGACGGGTTTATAGCTGGGTGTGATGTTGGGAGGTGAAGCCTCTTGGGAAGAGATGGGTCACTATGGGTGTGGCTTGGAGGGTTTATATCCCTCCACTTCCCTTGATTCCTCACTTGATCAACTTGGTGAGCACTTTCATTCAGAATAAAAGCTGGGCTGTCATGAGGGCTGTAATTGGAGATTGCAATATTTATTTTAACCGTTATGTAGCTGATATAAGTAGAATACCTTGAGGAAGGCAAGTGTGCTCTGATTTATATGTGGAAACAGCAGCCACCTTATCTGCTAGGATCCAGGATCAAAGTTCAACCCAGTTAATAGCAAATGTGAATTAAAACCGTGAACAAGTGCAATGAATACACAGTGCTGCTGTGGAGCATAAAAGAGAAATGAGCCTGTTGGCCTCACAGGCTCAGCCATAGTCTTCTGCTGCACCTCATTACTTTTTTCCTATGAGGGCACTAAGGTGAGATCCTTTCATCTGCCTGAAGGAGTAGACAGGCCTGGCACCAGTTACGTGATACATCTTGGGCTTTGGCCCTTCTTTATGGGTAGGGTGAAAAAGTGATCATCATATTTGTTAGTAGTAGACACATCTTTATATTTTTTCCCCTTTCAGTTCAGAAATGTAGTTAAGTAAAAAGGAGCTAGGAAGAGCCAGGCATGGCGGCACAGGCCTGTAATCCCAGAATTTGGGAGATGGAAGCAGGAAAATTACTATAAATTCAAGGACAGTCTGGGCTACACAGTAAGTTCAAGGCCAGCCTGAACTACATAGGAAGACCTCATCTTTAAAAAGAAAAACAGCTGTCTGGCAGGCCACGCCCACTTGTGACCAGGAGCCAGTGAGGACCCCCCCTGGGCATGCCCACCAGCCACCCACGGAGGTGCGCAGGTGCCTGCAACAACAGAGAGCCCCCCACCTCTGGCCTCTTGGCTGTGCAGCTACCTGGTTCCACACTACAGAGGCACAGGGGACATAAAAGCCATTGTCCTCAGCTGCAGAAGTGAACAACAGGAGAGGGCCTCTCTCAGGCTCCCTGATGAAAACTGAAGCCCACTGGAAAAGTGAAGAGAATCTCTGCAATAAAGGCATACCAGACCACCATACATGGTAAGTTGGAGAGATCATCACCTCCCATCGGAACCTAGACTGTCTTCAGAGAAAAGGCAAGTGGAGCCTGCAATAGAACCTTGCAGAGTTCAACCCTGCAGGAGCACAGGGAGCTCAACTTGGGACTTGGAGCCAGAAATCTGCCTGAATCTCATGGGTCTTTGACTGGCTTACTGAGACTCATTGACTTATAACTGCACACTGCTGCCCACGTTGTCTATTGGGACAGCAGAGACATACCCTGAAGGAGTCCCTTCACTTTTATCTTTAATTTGTTATTTTCAAAATTACCACTTTTTTTCCGCTTATTTTTAATTTGCTTCTTTTTCTACTCTTTTAAAATTTTTATTTTTCTTTTTCTTTCTTTTCTCTTTTCTTTCTCTCTCTCCCTTGCTCCCTTGCTGGCCTACATTATTCTTCATCTCCC